ACTATTTATAGTTATATGCAATTTTCGATAATTATTCGTTTTTATTTAAATTAATATCGATAAAAATTTATTTGATGGGTAGAAAAGCTTGAAAATTTAATAAAAGGCTCCTGACTTATTGTTTTTTTATAGGCATTCTAAGTTTRAATTTCGACAATATACGTAAAAATCACGAAAATTTGCAAAATATTTTATGCTAGAAATTCATAAAAAAATTTTCTTTTATATCTAAGATTTGAAAATGTAATACAAGATTCTTTATAAGTTTGTCTACATTTATCAAAAAAAATAATGTCTACCAGAAAGTCAAATTAAATTTTTATAAGAGTTTGAAATTTAATTTTTTACAGCATTGGATATCACTAAATTTCTTATTTAGTGATTATTTTATTTTGGTGTAACTCTAAAACGAACGACCGCAGATACTTGAAATTTTCACTAAATGTTTAAATGMGTTTGCTATACTTGACAGATGTTAAACCGTCTCCGCTCAGAATCGTTTTTCGTATAGGTACAATGACATAGGTTAGGTACAATCAAATTTAATTACATCCATTAGAGTAACTCACTTGTAACCTAGGTACTGTACAGCAGAGTGACATCCAGTTTCCAGATTTTTTTTATACTTCTTCAATACTATTATAGTGGTAATAGTGGTATTAAAGTGTGGTAGCCGGTAGGTACTTAAATGAAATCTGACTATCTAAGACTAACGTYTTATAATACCTGTGAAATGTAAAAATGTATTTTCATGAACGATTGCCTATTTCAAACACCCTGAAAAGTGTGTGACTGCCTTTAGCACGATTCACGGGCTTTTCTTCAATTTATTTGTCTGAACAATATTTTACTCTGAATAATTTRAACTCGTAATATATGRCATTTGATAAAACATGACATTTACGACCGAACATTTTATTATGTTGAATAAACTACGTGCTATAAAAACATACCTATAACACGTAAATTGGCTTTTCTTCACTCCTGTCCAGCAATGCGTCGGTGCAAAAAGGTCAAACAATAGTTGTATAACCTTGTAGCAAAAAAAAAAGACTTGGGAATATTACATCCTTCCGATAGCTGTCGATTGAATTATGTGAATTTGTTCGCGATTTAAAATAGAATAAAAATGCTTTGATTTTCAACATCCATATATTTTTAGTAAGAAAGTAAATCTATTTGCATACATTACAATATTACATGTATTTG